GCGAACATACGTTTGTTTTCGATAATTCTCATCAGGCCTTTACATTTATATGCCAACCCGCATATTTCATTTAATTTAATTACCATATAAATGTAAAGGCCTGGTGAGAATTATCGAAAACCAACGTATGTTCGCCATTTCATCTTCTGAAATTTTCAATGGGAGTTTTCGCAAATTTAAGTTCTCAATTGTTGCAGATGCAGCTAAGGCCAAACAGCGGTTCCTTTGTGATGCGGGCTTCACGATACATGATACCTTATTGGTGATTAAGTTGTGTAGAGTTCGAGACAAAAACGTGTGCGGCACGCATGCAGTTCGAAACGAAAAGGTGTGTCAATAAAAGCAAACATGCGAATCAAGGAAGTAATTGAGAAGAAGAAAATTTGATCGCTGGAACAACATTTTAATTCACCTGGCGTTTCGCGGATTCATCATCAGAGACATGAACAGAAAATAGTTGCCGAAACGGGTGGTACATGCATAGGAGGTTGCAGTATTTAGAGGACACAGTTATTACTGCACACGTATCACAAATGGCGAACAATCCACGCACAAGAGTGTAATTGTCGTTATTTTTCAAACGTGTGGAGTAATGACTGTGTCATATACGTAGTAAAACTTCCTGTGCATGTACCACACGTTTCTGTTAATGTCTCTGATGATAAATCCGCGACGGATGTCGAAACGTTAGGCGAATAAAAGCGTTGTTCCCGCGATTGAATTTTCTTCTTCTTCTTCTTCTTCTTCTTCTTCTTCTCGAAAAAGTGTGTGGCACGCGTAGGATTCGAGACGAAAACGTGTGTGGTGCGCGTAGAGTTGGCTTCAGTTTTGACAATCAGTGTACCCACGTCCGAATTCAGTCGGCTAGACCCTCTATTGCCATTAAAACACGATATAAGCGTGAAAAGGAATCGTATATGCATGACAGTCGGTCGCACTAATTAACAAATTAACCCACAGGTCACTAATACATCCTTACCAGGACAGTGGCGTTCCCGTAGTGACCCAAGTCCGCGTGCAATGCTCAACCTCTCGCCTATTGTAACTGTTAGCATGTCCGCACCAGTGTCTGCCTGCCCCAGTCCGGTCTGGCCAATCATCTACCTGAGGCTGATTCGGAGATGGCCTCGCTGGAAACATTTGTGACAACTTACGCGCCCTCACACGTCGGGCGCCGGCCCTCATGGCTGCAGACCTAGGCTCGTCCAACACTCAACTTCATCGAACCCTTCCTCCACTGGCTCTGTACAGAATATACTACATTGCTCCCACTTACCTATACCCATCAGGAATCGGGCCTGAAGGTCGCAGCAGCTAGGGTCTTCCCTATTACGTTAAGCCACTGCGATAGTCCTCGCCAATCGCATGGCAGATGAACGCACTAGTAGGGTTGGATGGGCATGAAAAGAACGCCGGCACCTTTGACCTGAGTTAAGCGAAAACCGCTGATGAAGGGTAGGGCATTGGCGACATTTGCGCAGCTCGCGCGGATAGGCAATAACGAATGACCGATGACAGAGCGATTACTAGAGGGCTGAGGGGAAGCAGTGCGGGCAACAAATATTCCGCTGGGGTTATAAAACAGCCAGTATTCGCCCGCTTGTTTGGATGCAGACAGTTTTATAGTTCTGGCTTTTCAATGCTGACCGGTCTTAGCGTAAGATAAAAAAAGGGAAGCAATGAAATCGCGTTATCGTCAGTTTTGTAAACCATCTCATAAACCCTTCTCCTTCTTTGAGTTTAAACGATAAACTACACTGATGGCACAGATACGGGCTAAAAGCCCAAAACGCGTGGCACCGATATTCTGTCGCTGCATGACACAGCTGCGGGGGGGGCGGTTGGCTCATCAGCGGGTCCCCGTGAACTTTCTGGTAGGTACTTCAGTTGCGAAATTGCTGCTTGTTAATTTCCTCAGAAATAAGTTGATTAGATGAGTCCCAAGTAAGGTTTATAGACACAAAACCGAACTTTTATGAGGCCATTTCGCCTGAAGTCCACTATCCACAGTGGGGTAACCGCGTACTACTAGTTTAGCTACTAAGAGACAGCCAGCGGCATATACCACAGTTATCCACTGATA